CAGATCAAAGGGGAGCTAGTAGGGGCCAGCTGGGGCCATGCCCTTGAAAGAGCCCACTCTACATGTATTTTAATCTGCCCCGAGCTGAAGTGCACCATCAATCGGTGAAAGAAAGACAGGTGGTTACAAGCGGGTTGGTGCACGCGTTCTTCATGTCCGCAAAGACATACATGCTGCAATAAATTAGTTACGCGTACTCAGCTTGCTCCGTGTATGTATGTGCATATACTTGCGCGCCTCATGGTGCGCCTATGCGGTGAGTACATGTACCCAAAACACACCTTATTTTGTTCCGCTCGGGGCGTGTTGTTTTTTGTACTAGTTGTTTTGGGTCCATGTCATTCCCATTCCTTCAAAAAGTGTGTGAAAGGTTCCATAATGTAACCCCACCCTTCAAAAAGGCCATAAAAGGTTTATAGGCATACATGTACTTAAAAAACCCCAAAATACTTGTACGTGTAGTAACTGTTATTAAGATACCAGTAACAGTGCACTGCATGAGGACAGTGGACGGAAACGTTGAAGTGCCCCATGGTAAGGGATTCTATTGTAAACTAAGCAACCTCCTGAGTCCCGTAGATAAGATTACAAATACATTACAAATACTTTACCGGTACAGTTTGTATTAATGTGTACACAGTACTGTGGGCAGCTGGGTAGTTTTCTGTGTGTGAAGGGTGCCTACTCAAATTTGCTTTGATATTACAGTGCACCAAAAACAACATTGAGGGACCACTACAACATGAATGTTTGGCACAGTTCTATCAACACGGATCGGTTAGCTGAAGAAAACCAGAGAGTGGGAGTGTAGGACTAGACACACCTGTTTGTTTGTAAGCAGAAGCAATTGCCTCTCAGCTAGCTTACATTTTGCTTCGAACTTAATTCTTCAATTGAAAACCTATCAGCCTGCAAAGATGCTCCGAAAACTTTGTTGTATTTCTGTATAACATGGCAAACAACAGTGTGACTTGAAGGGGCATGTTTCCCCATTGCTGTATGGCTGGTGTGATGTCATGTCGACTGCAAGAATAAATTCAACAGTGGGCGCTGGGTTGTCAATTTTTGTCTGACTGAACTTGAGTGGTCGACAAATTGTATACAGGAACTTGCTTCACTGTAAATTCAATCTGTTGGACATGGCAAACGTTGGGATTCAGAGTTTGTGTCCAGTTGCTCAGAATACATTCAGAAAGGAAAAAAAAATACAGCCATTGGAAGCATTAAATTTCTGTTTGTCAAATCTGATCCGGAACATTTTTATTGAAGTCACACCAAATGGCAAAAGGAAGACTGAAATTCTGTACATGAATGCAGTTGATCACTTCCTGCCAAGAGGGATGTCCTGGAAATGAACTAACTTGTCACATGTCCAAATGTATATTGACCTTAAAAAGGTGCGTACGTACACCAGTTTGTTTGTGTTGGGGTTGTTTTATCGTTTCACCTTTGTGTTAATGGAAAGTTGGTTGGAGCAGTAACTGGAATACGTAATTTGAAACTTCTTTTGGATAAGACCGGTAGTTCTGTAGAAATAGATTTCTTGTAGACAGGATAAGAACCAGGGCATGACTTGTTTTGTTCTTCTGCTTCATTGTTTGAAGTTCAACTAAGACAACTGAAATCTTCCAAATGTGTTTTCATTCATAACGTGTACTGGTACATGTACAGGGATAGGACAGTGCAGATGATATCCATATTTGATGATAGAGGTAGTCCTTGAATAATTATGCAAATGAATGACATTGTATGCCAAAAGTCATCTATTCAGATGGCTGTTATTATACCAATTAATGCTAATTGCTAATAATTTACATGTAGTTGCCACAGCAGAGTTTGGTACTAAAAAGGAAGTACACATTAGCTCTATAAGTACCCGTAAGTGTGTAGAAAGCTTGGAGCAGCCCAACCCAGTTATGGTAGTGTGTAGGCAGTGAATGAGAGTGCGTGGGATGCCATCACGAACCTGTAGCAGTGTGTGAGCTGGTGGCCTTCACCCCTGGAATTTGTGCATGCCAACACTACACACTTGGCTAGTGTAATAATAAGTACCGCAGTGGCGACTCGGTGTCGAGCACAACCAGCTCCATTCAGACTGTTGCCAGTGTGAAGGGGTGTGTGTGCACCCAAGCAAGCTTTCAGCGTTGATCAGCACTTCGCCGGTGTTACTGCCCGAGTGCCTTGAGGTGCTGGGTTGCTGTTGGCTGTTGAGGAGGAATAATAGTGCTTTGCCTCCATTGTTTAACATCAATGTTTGTGGAATATTTTGTAAGTATGCCGGTACCTGCATGTCATCAGTGTGTACTTTTAAAATCTTGTTTATACTGAATCTGTAGCCCATATTACTGGCTAATTGTCATAGAGTGATATGCGTTGGGGGTAATCTTTAACTCACAAGGAACATGACCTAGTCAATATGAACCAAATAAACCTACCGATACATGTGCATATACATCAGTGGTGTGACTAGGGTGAAATCTCTGAGAGGATTCAGGGAAGCACACGTTTTTTTCAAGGGGGTACTGAAATCAAATGAATGATACTACTGGTACAGTGTATGTATAAAACAGTGGGGGAGGGGTTCATTTGAGAGATATGGATTCCATTGATGTAACCCTGCTCCCTTGAAGTTGCACTGTTAGTTACACCACTTACGTGCATGTATGTTATATTAGACCATGGCGAAAGGACACTCACTTTTCCAGTATACATGTACCGTATGTGTACCTTTCTCACTTATGTATTCTAATGAGCCTAGAACCGGTCTTGCTATTGTACCTGCACCAAGTGGAGTGATTATTGTCCGCGTTCAGCAGGATTATTTAATGCATGTCTTCAGAAGGTATACAAGTGATCGGCTCTTTCCCCAGGAGTCCTTGGGTCATTTGCATGCTAAAAGCACAAATTGCCAGGAATGTACAGTGTACCAGTGATAGTCCGAATGCTGACTCAATTATGTACAGGTACTCAAGAGCTGGTTAGATTGTCTTCTGCTGAGTGATAGGTTTTGTCTTCCCCCAAGGGTGTTTGAGATTCATGTTGCCCAACCATAAAGAAGTGGTCGCCAAGTACGCTGTACTTGTGCGTGGACTGATACTTCATAATTATTACTTTGCCATGTTTTGCTGTGGACCTCCAAATTTTAATCATAACACGTCATCCTAATATGGTACATAATCTTAAGTTTATTTGAAAGTTTCTGCAGGCCTGATGGAAAAATTATTGTTTCAAGTTGAACTGATCTTGTTTTTATCTGATACATGTACATGTACATGTACTTGCACACTAGATTTGTTCGATATGGTGTGATTTCTACAATTTATTTCAGTGGTCAAGCCTCTCTTTCTGAAAAGTTAGCTTTTGTCCTGTGAATTACAACCTACATGTACGTGTACACAGTGTCTTCATGTGTACAAATCTTGTCAGCGCGATTGTAATGCAGTCATGCATCAGGGCCATGCCCTCCAGCATAGGAGTATCGTACCCGGAGTTGATTGTTGCGACCTCTACATGTATGGGTTGGTCAAGATTCAAGGGTTTTCAAATTCTGTTATTCTGATGGATGTTTTGTTTTCGAAAATGGGTAACTTTGTGTGGGTTGTAGGTGTACACCCACGCTTAAGCCTATTTTTCAAAGAGTAGAGTTTTAACGGAATGTGTGTGGATTACGTGTAAGCCAGCCAGCTACATGTATTAAGAGGAAAATGGGTGTAATTTTTACTTTACAAGCTTGCAATTGCCAGTAAAACGTAGATCTTTTTACTTTTATGCAAGTAAAACGTAGATTTTTTTATACCCAATAGTCTAGCCTACATGTACTCCATACACTAATCTAGAAAGATGGATTAGAAGCAATTACAGCAGGGCTATCCTGTTTGCACACAGGAGGTACGCGCGCTTTACATTTCTCTCAAACATAACTATAACTTAACAGCATTTACATGTATAATGCACTTTCCACAATGTTTCAAAGCACCCAGTTGTGTTCTAGTACATGTATACAAATGAATTTACTGATTGTGAGAAATGAAAGCCCTTACCGGTAAGTACTCTCTTGAACGAGTCTAATGTATCAGTTTCACGGATGTGTATGGGAAGAGAAGTCCAGAGTCTTTGGGCTAGCACAGAGAAGGCACGGTCGCCATAGCAGGTTTTGGTTTTAGGTCCAGTTAGTAACTGAAGATGGGCTGTAGAATGCAATCAGAGGTGATGGGATGTAGATGATACGTCTGTGGATAGAATGATACGAGCTTCTGGAGATATAATGGGGCAAGGTTGTGGATGATTTTGAAAACAGCGAGAAGAGTTTTGAAGATGATGTGTTCATGAACTGGAAGCCAGTGAAGAGACCAAAGGACTGTGTAATGTGTTCGTGTGTCTTATTCCCAGTAACCATTCTGGCAGCAGAGTTTTGAAGGTGTTGCAATGGGGGCGATGTTTGACTTGGGCAAACCGGACAACAGGCTGTTACAGTCATCAGTGTGAGATGTGATGTGTGCATGGACCAATCTCTCTGTTGAGGAACTGGTCAGATATTTCTTAATCTCTCAGACCAATAGGGTGTTGTGACTTTGCAAAATGCGTGCACTTGCTCAAGTTAAAACTTTTGCGGGAATGTAATGGCCTGGCAGGAATGGCGTCTCCTCAGATTTGCCTGTACATTTAATGAAGATGATGAGTGTATGCTCCCAGTACTTTCCTTTAGTCGTATGCATAAAGTTTTTAATGTGTGTTTAAGTGTGTTTTGAAACCTGCCAAATAATTTCAACCATCTTGTTTTTTATTTTCTGCAGGAGAAGTTGAAGCAAGGAATATTGTGAATCTTGCACTGGGGTATTAACTGATCCGATCACAAACTGAACAATGGAGAATGTGACAGACGAGCCCAGGGTCTGTGAGGGCCTGATCCTACCACTGACTGACGAGTCCGGTTGGAGTCTTGGGTCGCGGATAGCGCTTTACTTTGTGGGCCTGATCTGGAGTTTCTTGGCTGTGGCTATTATCGCCGATGTGTTCATGGTCTCCATTGAAGTCATCACCAGTCGGACTCGGCTGCTCAAGATCGCCAACCCAGACTTCCCCGGCGGCATTGAGGAAGTGGAGATCCGCATCTGGAATGACACGGTGGCCAACCTGACCCTGATGGCCCTGGGCTCCAGCGCCCCGGAGATCCTGCTCTCCATCATTGAGATCGCCGGCAATAACTTCAAGTCGGGCAAGCTGGGGCCCAGCACCATCGTGGGCTCAGCCGCCTTCAACCTGCTGGTCATCACGGCCGTCTGCATCATGGCCATCCCCAAGGGCGAGTGCAAGGGCATCCGGATGATCAAGGTGTTTGCCACCACCACCGCCTTCTCGATCTTTGCCTACATCTGGCTCTACCTGGTCCTGCAGGTGATCAGCCCCAACAAGATTGAGATCTGGGAGGCGGTGGTCACCTTCATCTGTTTCCCCATCTTGGTGGTGGTTTCCTACATGTTTGACCGAGACTTCTGTGGTACCAAGAAGCATGAGCCGGACATGGAACTCGGAATAGGTGGGTGTACAGCATTTACCTGCTAGTAACTCCTTTTTTCCGCTATCGAATGTTTGATCATGTTATTTACAATCATTCATAACTTACTGTTTGTTTTACTGACAGTTACATACATGTACATAAAAGGACAGTTAATATTTAACCTACATGTACGTGTATGTCTAACCCTAACCTCCTAGGCCTTTTTACCAGAAACCATCCTCAATCCTCCAAAGTCCTCCAAAATCCTCCGATTTTCAACATGAACAAATTGCATTCAGCCTCAATCCTCCAAACTTTCTTGAAAATGTTTTTTGGAGGTCTGCCTGCTGCCTCAATCCTTCAAAATCCTCCAGCAATTCCTGTCATTATGTTGAGGCAGTGCGAAGGGCATTCTTGAGCAGTGCGGTTGATGCAAAGGAAATATCGGGCTGAATTTGTGCTTGACTAAGCAAAAACAATACAAGGTCTAATCCACAACCTTCACACATGGCATCCTTCATAATCAGCCATGCACTTTTGCCATTCACCCTCGATCCTCCAAAATCCTCCAAAACCGCCCAAAGAATTTTGGAGGATTGAGGAGGGTTAGGGTTAATAGATGTTGGTAGGAAAAATCCTGTCTGTACTGTGTGTATGTGTAGCCCATTTCAATCATCTTTGTAAAATACTCCCAAACTGAACGTTACAATATTTGCAATATTGCATTAATTTAACTGAAACACACGCAATATGGCAATCCATAGCCGTCCAGTGAGCGTGTGACCACTCGTTGTCCAAGCCTTCGTATTGATCGTACACTTTGCAATGCACGGTGTGCACAAGCAGTTATATCGATTGCAGACATTAATAACAGTTGGCATTGTACATGGACATGTACCCATTTACATGTAGATGTATGTGTACTCCTTTATATGGATACAATATGTAGCAGAGCCTTTTTAAATTGTAACAACTTTCAGGGTCATGTACCGATACCATACAGTAATATGCACATGTATCGCATGTCGACTGTCTACAGCTGGCTGTCCATAGACCATAGACTGTGCACATTTTCAGAAGCACAATCAAAGCATTATTCTCCAGGGAGTTTTCTCTTTCTAAAGGCAAATTTCAAAATTTTTCCCAATGTACGGGTACCTTGGTGAGGACATGGAGGTTCACCATTTTAGACATTCCAATTAAAATGAAAGCACACATTTGGATTCATTTAATGAAAAGATACATGAACACTTGAAGAATATTAATTTTTCCTGTGAACCTTCCTCAAACATTGCAGGAGACTGTACTCTTGGTACTCGTACTTTTCCTCTATTGCAAGTTGTCAAACACTGTAAAAGATGTGAAGTAGTTGTTAAAATCTCCATGCAAAGTGAAAATACCCTTGAATTTCAGGCTTACCGTACAGTACATGTACCATGTACATATATGCCCATCCATGTACATAGTACATATGCAAAGATGTCAGATTCTTCTAACACAAATATTAATTAAGTCATTGACTGTGAATAGTGGCCACCAATGCAAATGTACCGGTAGGAACAACTTCAGTGAAGCTGAACTAGTCAACAAGGTCTATACATTCCGCTGCTGCATGCTTCTCCATGCATGACTGATTTCTGTTTTCCATAACTAATGAAGCCAGCGTGAGGCCAGACTTCAGTGATTAACCTATGGTAACACCCAGCACATGTACCAGTAGGACTTTTGTCTTTAATGTCCATGTACTGGTACAGGTACATTTGCAGAGCTGCAATTTGCAATGTGATATTCACAACCAAGTTGGCAGATGACATTGAAATGGCAAAACGGCAAGTGCTGTGTGCAAATAGACTAACCCCCCCCCCTTGACTCTTACAGTTTGGGCATCACAATTCCATCAAATTTTATTGTACCGGTATTTTGCATTCCATGCTCCTTCAAACAACAGCGCGTACTGCAGTGTCTGCCATAGCAAAATGCCTGCTCACATCAAATTAAACAGGAGGCATGGCTTGAGCATGGCTGAATGAGTGGTTTGTATCTGAAATTTGATAAAGTTCAAGTTTGCATGTTAATCTACAGCCTGGCTTTCAATAATTAAAAGTTAATTGCACATGGATACGTACTGGTACATGTATGTAACTGCCCGTGCCAGTACATTTTTGTATTTATCTTGATCTACCTTTACGCAAGGCAATCAGACCTTGTGTTGGAGTTATTCCTGACTCCTGGAGAATACAATGTAGATGTATTTTTGATGAATAATAACACATGTACATGTATATGGCAGGTTCCTCAAAATATGGACCATTAT